CATTGTCTACAACTGAATATTTAAGACTGTGACCTGCTCACCCGACAGGTAAGTTTTTATATCTGGCCAACCCAACTGAAACATAAGCAGTCCGTCCTTAAGTGTTTGTAAACCTTAGACATGAAATATGAACAAAGCATATTTATTATTTATTTCAGGTACTTATATAGCGCCATATATAGCTCCCCAAAGGTCCGCAGTCTCTGGTAATCTCCTTTACTGTCTGCAGTCTCTGGTCATCCCCTGCACTGTCCGCAGTCTCTGGTCATCTGTACTATGTCCACAGTCTCTGGTCATCTCCTGTACTATGTCCACAGTCTCTGGTCATCTCCTGTACTATGTCCGCAGTCTCTGGTCATCCCCTGTACTATGTCCGCAGTCTCTGGTCATCTCCTGTACTGTGTCCGCAGTCTCTGGTCATCTCCTGTACTGTGTCCGCAGTCTCTGTTCATCTCCTGTACTGTGTCCGCAGTCTCTGGTCATCCTCTGTACTGTGTCTGCAGTCCATTGGTTCAGAATATTTTTTTTCTTGTTTTTCTCTCCTCTAAAACCTAGGCGCGTCTTATGGTCAGGTGCGTCTTACGGAGCGAAAAATACGATATTTGGCTACATGTCTTTGCTAAAAAAAATCCCAATACTTGTAAATTAACTGGTTTACATGAAAGTTACAGTGTTTACAAATGGCGATATATATATACTGGAATTTTATTATTTTTACTAGTAATGGAGGGCGATCAGCAACTTATAGTGGAACTGCAGCAGGCATTCTGACACTGGGGGGGAACTGACTTGGTGTTACTGACATCCCCAGTTACACCAATACAGTGATCAGTGCTAATAAAAAGCACTGACACTGTACTAATTTGCACTGGGTAGGGAGGGGTTAACATGTGGGGCGATCAAAGGGTTAACTGTGTGTTGTGTGCAGTTTTACTATGATGCTCTGTGCTGTGTTTCACTGTAAGCACACTGCATAGCAGAGCCATACAAAGCAGAGCCATACAAAAGCAGTGTGCAGGAGCTGACAGGGGAGAGATCGGTATTGTTTACATACAGGTCTCTCCCCCACCGGAAATCCTCAGAGATTGCCGGGTGCTGGCAGGGAATCAATGGCCGGGACCCGGTGACTGACAGCCGAGGCCGCAAATGGTCCTACCCAGAACTGCAAAATCACGTGTATATGTGATTTTGCACACCCGTGCCACCCTGTAGCAGTATTTCTGCTGTAGGGTGGCTCGGAAGCAGTTAAAAAGTGTGTAAGGCTGGCCATGCACACAATTTTTTTTCTTCATCATGCAAGCTGAAAAAAAAGGGGGGAGATTTGCTAAAACTGGAGAGTGCAACATCTGGTGCAGCTGTGAATGGTAACCAATTAGCTTCTAACTTCAGCTTCTTCAGTTAAAGTGTTACTAAACCCAGAACCCTGCATTCACTATATCTGGTCTCCCCGGACCCTGCATTCACTATATCTGGTCTCCCCGGACCCTGCATTCACTATATCTGGTCTCCCCGGACCCTGCATTCACTATATCTGGTCTCCCCGGACCCTGCATTCACTATATCTGGTCTCTCCGGACCCTGCATTCACTATATCTGGTCTCCCCGGACCCTGCATTCACTATATCTGGTCTCCCCGGACCCTGCATTCACTATATCTGGTCTCCCCCCCGGACCCTGCATTCACTATATCCGGTCTCCCCGGACCCTGCATTCACTATATCTGGTCTTCCTAGACCCTGCATTCACTATATCTGGTCTCTCCGGACCCTGCATTCACTATATCCGGTCTCCCCGGTCCTTGCATTCACTATATCTGGTCTCCCCGGTCCTTGCATTCACTATATCTGGTCTCCCCGGACCCTGCATTCACTATATCTGCTCTCCCCGGACCCTGCATTCACTATATCTGCTCTCCCCCGGACCCTGCATTCACTATATCTGCTCTCCACGGACCCTGCATTCACTATATCTGCTCTCCCGGACCCTGCATTCACTATATCTGGTCTCCCCAGGACCCTGCATTCACTATATCTGATCTCCCCGGACCCTGCATTCACTATATCCGCTCTCCCTGGACCCTGCATTCACTATATCTGCTCTCCCCGGACCCTGCATTCACTATATACGCTCTCCCCGGACCCTGCATTCACTATATCCGCTCTCCCCGGACCCTGCATTCACTATATCCGCTCTCCCCGGACCCTGCAGTCACTATATTCGCTCTCCCCGGACCCTGCAGTCACTATAATCTGCTCTCCCAGGACCCTGCATTGACTATATCTGGTCTCCCACAGTACACACAACATGGATATGCAATTATTTTAGTAAATATAAACTACTAAATACCTTTTCTCATCAGCAGTTAAAGCAGTCTTGTGACTTCTATCAGTGTTCAGCAGAGCACTGGTTAAAGCTTGTAGGAGGAGTTTTCATTTAGCTCTAGGAGGATGCAGAACCCCTAACCTCTGTCTGGACAGTGTTGATTGGCCCTGTGCTGATCACATGCACTCGCCAAAGAAAAAAAAACTCTCTAGCAATGCCCATCAAACTGAGCATGTGCAGAGTGATTTTTATCAGGAGATAAGAGGGGGACACTGGAAGAAGGGGAGGATCATAGAAGACAGGATCAAACTGAATTTTTACACAATGCAGAGGATTAACCCCTTAAATTCCACAGTGAGTATAACAAGCATGCTTTATTGCATATACCTACTGTTGTGGGTTTATTAAAAAAAACTGGAAGCTAATTTATTCCTACAGATAGTTGTACCAGATTTTACACTCTCCAGTTTTAGTAAATCAACCTCAAAAAGATTAACAGATCCTCCATCCATGGTATATAGTGCGGGAAACTTCATAGAATGCATGAAGATAAAAAAAAGTTGAGCCTTTAGAAACACTTTAAGATTCTGGCTGCTCCAGTATTAGTAAATTCCCCTCAGAGATTTTTTCCCAGTCTGTGCCATTATGCATGGCAGTGCTAAAAGTCATTGAGGTACATGATGTTACTGGACATTTTTATTTTGTTTCGGATGCATTTGTTCATCGAAGAATTTTGTTTTGTCACATTTGATTAGTTTTCGGGATTTGTCTCGTATCTTCAGCATTAGTTACATGCTGTATATTCGTTGGTCTGGGGGGAATAAAAAAAATGTTTCCGTTTTTCTGGAAGATTGCTATATATGCAATCTATTGTTGAATTGGACAGATTCAAATCAGAAGAATTTGATATTTTTGGATACTAGTCCAACTCACCAAGAGAAATATCATGAGCTGATTGGACAATATTGACTGTCATGTGTCATGTGCATCCAAATTAATGTGTAGAATGAAATCCATTTGTTCTCTGAATTTGAATTATCGAACAAATTCTAAAATGTAATTTATTTCCACCATAGGCCTGAACTACTATCGCATCAAGTGATGTCATACAAATGAAAATTGAAATGGATAGATTCATTCATTTCATTTTAACTGTTGGATTCGTTGCCATTCATTTCTGTGTTCATTCAAAATTTTCATCAGAAAAACTAATAAAAATGAAACAAATCGCATTTGTCTAGATGTTTCAGTTTTGTGTATAAGCAAGGGTGGACCACTCACCGATCACCACTTCTGGTACCAGCTTTGTCCATCTATGTGTGATTTAATGATCTTCAACCAGAATTTATGTTTCAAAACACTTTACTTGCAGTGATCAATTTAGCACAAAAGTAAGTAACACTCTAACAATAGTTGGACTACCAAATAATAACCAGCTTAACTTGTCAGATGTACTAATCAGTCATTCTTAAAAGCTAACTCTATCTTTTGCACCATATTACATGTTATGTACATATTTAGTTGCTAATAGGACCTCCCACACCACCTAACCACCCATCCCCCTAATCCCCGTAACAGGGTGTAGGGGTTCTTCTTCCCTGCAGTCGCTGTCCCCTTTAAAATTTGTGAGGCTGTGTGGGGCTCCACCCACACCCTGTATCCTTCATTCACAGAAATCTGGGAATGAATGAACTACAAGTCCCATTTTCCACCATGGAAGATGGAGTTGTAGTTCTCAATGGAACACACGAGTGTGGTGATCCTCAAACGTTTAATCACACACTTTCTCCAGTTCTCTGACTGAAGGTCCATACCTTGTGAGGCTGTGTGGGACTCCACCCACACCCTGTATCCTTCATTCACAGAAATCTGGGAATGAATGAACTACAAGTCCCATTTTCCACCATGGAAGATGGAGTTGTAGTTCTCAATGGAACACGAGTGTGGTGATCCTCAAACTTTTAATCAACGCACATTTTCTCCAGTTCTCTGACTGAAGGTCCATACCTTGTGAGGCTGTGTGGGGCTCCACCCACACCCTATATCCTTCATTCACAAAAATCTGGGAATGAATGAACTACAAGTCCCATTTTCTACCATGGAAGATGGAGTTGTAGTTTCTCAATGGAACACGAGTGTGGTGATCCTCAAACTTTTAATCCATGCACATTTTCTCCAGTTCTCTGACTGAAGGTCCATACCTTGTGAGGCTGTGTGGGGCTCACCCACACCTTGTATTCTTCATTCACAGAAACCTGGGAATGAATGAACTACAAGTCCCATTTTCCACCATGGAAGATGGAGTTGTAGTTCTCAATGGAACACGAGTGTGGTGATCCTCAAACTTTTAATCCATGCACATTTTCTCCAGTTCTCTGACTGAAAGTCCATACTGTAGCAAACTTGCTCATCAGAGTTGGACGCAGAGTTCCCCCTTTTTTATTAGGAGTATGCCTCAATCCTTTATTCTCCTTCCCCCTCCCTTCCTGAGAGGCACAGTGACAGATGGGGGGCTGGTTATGGGTCAACCGCAGGTTAAGGCATCCTTAGTTCGGTGCCGAGCAGTCTGCGAAAGTGTAGCCTTCCTCACCTAAGTCATGATAAGGCCAGTGTTCCTCAGAGAATTGGGAAGCACTGACCCAAGAACCTGTGTAGGCTCACACATCATAAAACAGATAAAGCAGCTTCTCCCAGGAATTGAAAGAGATTGTAACCTCATAAAACCTAACAGTTAAAGGTGACAGAATGAAATGAACATTCCTCAAGTCAGGTTTTTCCCCTATGTTTCATGTCATGGATTATGACAGATGTTGGTTCTAATTCAGAGTTTGCCCGACTGACCCCTCCCAAAACAGCGTATTGGCCAGTATTCAGAGCCATCCCCCCCCCCCCCTGCAGGGGGACTTTAAAAGACAGGCTGACAAGCCTAAAGAATGAAGCCAAAGAGATCTCCTCATTTTTAACATCGTAACAGCAGGAGGTCAAAGACCCTTTCCGCTCTGCAACTTGGATCTGCTTACCTTTAGGCTTAACATGGCAAGTAACTTAACCTTTTAACTTCTACCTGTTATCTCTTGGCTGTGATATGCTGTTTTTTATATATAAATATATATATCTAGTTACATTTTCTTTGTAAATATTTTATTGTACCTGTTTGACTAGTAATAAATCTTTCTTTCTGAAAGTGTTAAACTGTTTCTAAGGGCTTACTTGCAATTCACAAATTCCTGCCTTTTGAAGAGACGCTATTGTGTTTGTTTAATTCTCTGCCCAATCGGCCTGCAGTGACCGTGTTATGATCCGCCAGGTGGTGCCTCAGGCTGCCAACTGACAGACCTACTCAGAGTGTGGGGTCTAAGCCCGGGCTGTGCTTTCACCAGGGCCCCTGATGGTGGGGATGGACTTGAAACAGTCCCGGGCCAGGTCACGACCTCCGAGCAGACCCACCAGTGGCTGAGGAGACCTCCGGGGACAGGTACCGGGAGAGCCAGATGTGAAGAGGATGGCGACCCCAGCAGGGTAGTAACGGATCGTGGGCCCGTGAGGGTAAGCGGGGTACAGAATCGGTTGGCAAAGAGTAATCGGGTCACACGCAGGATCAGCAGGGTAAGTCAGTCCGTAGAATGGTCAGGGCAATCTGGGTCAAACACAGGAGCAGGCAGAATAGTCAGGACAATCCGGGTCAATCACAGGAGCAGGCAGAATAGTCAGGGCAGTCCGGGTCAATCACGGGGGCAGGCAGCGTAGTCAGGGTCAATCAGGGTCACTAGACGGGTGCAGGAACTCAGAATCACAGAAAGACCTTGCGGCAATCTGTGACAGTGCAGGGCATCTTTAAATAGTGCGCCCTGCACTGTCATTGGCCGGCTAGGACGCGCCCCCGGCTGTCATTGGACGCCTGAGGCGCGCCCGCGGCTCCTACTGCGCATGCGCGGTGTCCTGTCAGCCACGGCTCGCCGGGACCTAGTTCCTGTGTCCCGGCGCGATCTGCCGCCAATGCGCATGCGCGGGGGACAGAGCCGCGATCGTGGACCACGGAGCCGCGATCCCTGACATTGCCCCCCCCCAATGGGCACCCTCCGGGAGCCCCACTGATCTCTCCACCGCGGGTGACTACGACAAAATTCCCGGATGAGCCTGGGTGCGTGAATGTTCTGGGCGGGTTCCCATGAGTTCTCCTCAGGGCCATAACCCTTCCATTTTATCAGGAACTGTGTCTGGCCCCCCCTCCTTCGGCAACTGAGGATAGTCTCCACTTCATATTCCTCCTGGTCACCTATGGTGATTGCCTCGGGAGGTCTGGATTCACGGTCCGGGAAGGGATCCGGTCTGGATGGCTTCAGGAGAGACACATGGAACACAGGATGTATCTTGAAGGTCCGCGGAAGCTCGAGTTCGTAGGCCACCTCGTTGACTACTCGTTTTACCGGAAATGGGCCAATGTACTTGGGTCCCAGCTTCCTTGAAGGGCACAGCATCTTCAAGTTGGTTGTTGCTAGCCAAACCTGATCCCCTGGTTGAAGCAGTAATTCTCCTCTTCTCTATCTGTCGAATGCCCTTTTACTGTCCTCTTGGGCTTTAGCGATGGCTTCCTGAATTGTCTTGTTATTGACGGAAAAGAAGTTCAAGATGTCTTGAGACTCCGGTACCGGATTTTCAGGCATTAGATCAGGGAGGAATGTGGGATTATACCCGTAATTGGAAAAGAATGGGGATTGACCCGTAGCTGAGTGACTCGAGTTGTTGTATGAGAATTCTGCGGAAGGCAACAACGTCAGCCAGTCATCCTGAAGGTAGGCTGTGTAGCATCGTAAGTACTGTTCCAGCGTTTGGTTGGTCCTCTCGGT